TGCCCTACTCAGCAGGCCGCACTACTAACCAGTACAAACTGACATCACCAGAGCCTGACAACTTCTCCTTTTCTTTCCAACTCCACCTCACATTCCACCTGACCACCTTCTCCACAGCCCAGAACACGGCCACCACCTCCACTTTGTTCCAAGCTGCAGCACCCCTTCTCACAGGTCCGCCCCCCCACAATCACCCCCTCTGTATTCAAGACTTGCACTGAGTCCACCTCCTCTCCCTTCAATCCTTTCCCAGGCTTCTCCGCTAACAGGCGCTTTACCCTCCTCCTACTCTTACTTCCCCCGCTGGTGTGCACGGCTCTGAGGCTCCACGTGTCCACATGCACACATAGCCATCACAGCCCCGAACAGACTGCAACAGAAAGCAGATGCAGTATTTCTCCTTTGAACCCCCCACCACGCCCAAGTGTGACAGAGAAGTCTCCTCTCTTCATTCCCATCATTGCAGAGTCCATGATGAACGGGGCTCGCTCAGCTCCAGCATTTAGAGCCAAGAAAGCTGACAGACCGCTGCCACGTCTCCGCGGCCAGCCCGTGTTCTCCTTAGAAGCTGCTCCTCCTCGAGGAGAAGGGATGTGCTAAGCATCTCCTGCACGCCAGGGGCTGTGCTGGACCCTTTACAAACATGTTATGTCCTTTGATTCTCCAAACAACCCAAGGAGAGGAGGATTTGTCATCCGCATGTTATGGATGAGGAAAGTGGGCTCTGAACCATCACTGCTGGAGCCAGATTCAAAGCCCGTTCCACTCACCCACGAAGCCAGCCTTCTTTTCACTCTATTGCAGGGTCAGAGGGAGCAAAGAAGGCAATACTTACCCACACATAGGTGTTTCTGAGTGTGCAAGGCACTTCTAGGTGTGTGATCTCTACTCCCCTTCTGAAAGATAGGACTTACCTTTTAACCCTGTGCATGGGCTTTTTCCCTTCCGAAGAAGGAAGACATTTCGTGGTCCCTTTTGTGATTAAAACCCTTAGGGAGTAAAATACATCTTTGAAACAGGAAAGGGAGTAAGGGCTTATGTACCCCACTCCTGGTCATTCTAAAATAAAAGGCCACTGACACAACACACCCAACCAGCTCATAATACACACACACACACACACACACACACAGTCTTCGCTCTGGACCTCACAGAATGGACCTCTTCCGAGTCCCTTTTTTGGATCTAATTGCCCCTGGTCAAAACTCCCTGCACTAGCCTCCCAATCCACTCTATCAGGACACCACCTCCCACAGCTTAGGGGCGGGGGTGGGGTGGGGTGGGGTGGGGTGGGGGGAATAATCCTCAAGGCACACACATACACCTCACGCGAGCTTAACATCTGGCAGGTTTCATCCTTCCCTATATCTCGTGCCATAGAGAAACCAGAATCCTAGCACAAAACATACTGTAATCTTCACTACCCATTTCTCAGCCTGACTTGTAACTACAACTACACAGCAATGGGTCATTGGCATAGCAAATCCCAAACTTTCTTTACCAACTACAGCCTAGCTCAGAGCAGAATTCACCACCCTCTTTTGACTTGCTAGTGTTTGGAGCAGTAACTGTATGACATGGCTGGACTGATTGAATACGTCAATTGCTGGGTGACTATGAATGGTTCCCTTCCTGCTCTGAATTAGACAACTCAGTCAAACCATAGGGGCATCAGGTCTGGGACAAATTATGCATTTCTCCAAGAGGGACCCAACTTCTAAGCCTCCCCAGGACTCTGAAGTCAAAGCACAGAAATGTCAGCAAAGCCTGACAGTCAACAAAAGCTGCCACAAGCTTGAGCTTTTTCCTCACAGATAATAAGGGTTCTCCTGTTGCTAAAAGTGAAAAAGCTAGCTGAAAGCAACAAATCTCTTAGTGAAAAGTTGCGTGGATCACTACTTTACACAAACCCAGAGGGAAAAAATCCACATGGATCAAAGAGGAGGGAACTAGATCTAAGATCTAGACTGAACTTTGATGTCTGATTCCAATGCTAAGGGGGATATATAGAGATGGCAGACAACCATAAAAATAAGAATCAGTGTGCCACAGTTTACTCCCGGTGACGTAACAACACTGAACTTCTGACATAATGAGGTGGCATGCTGGTTTGCAACTAAAAGACCATCTTCAGGGAAGGATGCAGGCAGAGGCTATTCTGGAGGCTGAAGGAAACACTACTGAGCCTGAATACTAGACTCAAGCAATCACTCAATAACTTGGGCCAAGAGTCAACTTCTCAGAGCCAAGGTTTACTCATCTGTAAAATGGGAATGGCAAGTGGAGATAGAATAGCCACTGCAAATAGAAGACATATGGACCTTTAAGCAAATCTAGATCTGAATACTGTCACTTAATGAGTAACACTGAGTTAAACTCCCTAAAGTAGTAAAATGATAACACCCAACTGCAGAAGGCTGTGGCAAAAACTGAGTAAAGTGCTCATTACTGTACCAAGCCTAAGGAATGTCTAATTACTAAAAATTTCTAGTAAGACTTACTGAATGTTTATAATACTGCCTGACATGGTGTTGAGCACTTTGCATGCTTTACCTTGTCATACTTGTTTTGTCTACTCTGCAAGATTTGTATAAACATGTTTCTATACATAAATATGAGCATAGGAAAACTAAAAGGATACACACAAAAATGCTAATAGTATCTCTTGGGAGGAGAAATACAATTTTTTTCTTTTTGCTTACTTGCTTTTTCAAAATTTTCTATAAACATCATTTATTGAGGTATATTTCTATATTTTTAATGCCAAAATACATTAAAATACAATGAAAATCAAGACATTGCTCACAGGTAATCTCCTACGTGAACCACTTCTTTCAGAGGTAAGAGCTAACAAAAGTTCTGCTTTCCCTGAGGAACTGGCACGTGCTCTGCTTTTCATTAAGAATTAACTGACTTCTCCCTTCTTCACTTTGCCACCATGGGGCACAGCCAAAATTTTAGTTCAATAATTCAGTCAGGTCCTCGTTCTTTGCATATTTCTATTTTAATTTCCCCAGTTTCAACTTTCTATTCTAATCTATATGTCTTATCCTGATTTTGGATTTGTTTATATTTTACTGCTTTTCTCAATGTTTATCATAAATTTATTGTCTACAAATCCTTTGTAGATTAAGGCAAGGTATACATACACTTAAGCTGAAGACTTTAAGGATTGCTATTGCCCATACACTTCCTGCTGGGTCCCTGCATTTCACAGAATTCTTGGTTAGGACATTAAATGATCGAATTACCACCTCTAAATACAATCTGAGATTTTTTTTTAAATGCAAAACTGCAACATCTCCCAATACCTGCAACAATAACAAAAATACCACAACTTTTAAAGTCTCAGAAGTCCCATAATTAAAGTCAGTTTTATTAAATGCTCAATTCTCAAAATTATATACATTTCTTTTTACTATAAAAAAAATCTCCATCCCATCTCACCCTTCTTCACTCACCCCGCCCCAAGGTAGGTACTGTCCAAACAGAAGCAAACCCAACAAAGTCTACCATACACCCAAAAGCAGGGAAGACAGGAGGTCCCCAGAGGACAAGCTATGCGGGTGTTATCATGCAGAACCCTCCTGCAAAGGGGAGAAAGAACGGGAAGAGCTCACATAAGAAGGGAACTGGAATAGGCAGACTGACAGACTTGTATAATTTATACCAATTACAAATGCTTGAGGTGCCCACCAACTCCAAGAGAAGAGACCAGACTAATACACAAAGGAAGGCCTCTGCCAGCGTCTCATCTCCCTGAGGGCCTCCCATCAGGAGTCATTAGGAAGCCCAAACAGCTTCACAGTTCCTGCTTCCCGACTGCTGTCATATTTGCCATCTTTGTCATCACAGGCAAATGCCAGCAGAGGCCTTTTGGGGTGCCAAGCCACGGTGAAAGTCGGGGACTCACACTGCACCTCCCATAGCTTGTCTCCTATAAAAATCAATATAGAGAAACCAATCAATACGTTAATAATAAGAAACCACATTCATTAAGTACTTGCCTACATTAACTCATTTAATCCACTTTTTAAAAAAGATTTTATTTATTTATTTGAGAGAACACGAGCCCAGGGCGGGGGGGGGGGCAGCCGGCAGGGGAGGGGCAGAGGGAGAGGGTGAAGCAGACTCCCCACTGAGCAGGGAACCCAAAATGGGGCTCGATCCCAGGACCCTGAGATCATGACCTGAGCTGAAGGCAGACGCTTAACCGACTGAGCCCCCCAGGCGCCCCTCATTTAATCCACTTATTAACCCTACAGGACAGGTACAATCATTACCCCATTTTACAGAGAACACCGAGGCACAGGGAGAGCACAAGCCAGTAGGTGGCAGAGCAAGATCTGAATGCAGAGCCTATGATCTAAACCTATTCTGTACTCCCTAGGAAAACAGTAACAGCAGTTAATATTTACTGAGCACCCCTTAGGAATCAGATGGATTATACTTTAGTTTAATAAAGTATAATGACAATGCAGCAAAGCAAGTAATGATTTTAAACCCCATTTTATAAAGGAACAGGTGACTGAACAGTTAAGTCATACCTCAAGGAAGCAGCAGAGTCAGCACATGAAGTGAGTCGGTTTCCAAAGTCACAGGTCTTTCTGCTAAATCACAATGCTTTGCAAATAGATTTTCCCCCAAAATGTCATTCTTCCTACTTGAAATTAAACATGATTTTTCTAAAGCCATTATTCCTTTAGTCCCACTTTACTGTTTTTCAACCTTAGAGTAAGATTAATGTTATAAAACATAAACAATGTGGTGTTAATTTAAAGTTGCAGGATACATTAAATTATATGCTTCAAACTGGTCAACTATATGGTAAGTAAATATTTCAATAAAGCTGTTTAATATATATTTTTTATACACACATGAACACATATGTGTGTGTAGAGACAGACAAAGATTCTTTTTGTTAAGTAATCCTATTTCAGGGACAGTTAACCACTCTTCATGATGCTAGTATCTGGCAGTCTAGCTATACGTCTGAGCAAACTTCTGTATTACACAAACATAAAAAATAGTTTCAGAGGCTGCTACCCCCGTTTTACTTCTCTTTAGGCCTCTACTCCATCATTTGTCAGTCATTTGGAATTGGTTAGGATGAAGAAATTTATACAGATCAAGAAAACCAGAGTAGACATGAAGAGGCCTTCTAAAACGTTTCCTAAATAACCATGTGGCTTCATAAACTTTAACATCTTGACAGTTTTATTGGAAAGTTTAATCTCTGAATGATAAATAAGGTGCTATCTGGGTGAGACTGACATTACTACTCCAGGCCACTGAAGTTCTAAAAACACCGGTGCGATATGTATGGTGTGTCTAAAAAGCTGAAAGTAAGTGGACTGTTAAAATACATGCTATCAGAAATAAAATTCCTTATTTTACATTTAACCATTAAAAATATGTAAAACACAAAATCTTATTTAATATGACTCCAACTATAGGGGCGCCTGGGTGGCTCAGTCGTTAAGCATCTGCCTTTGGCTCAGGTCGTGATCCCAGGGTCCTGGGATCGAGCCCCACATTGGGCTCCCTGCTCCGCAGGAGGCCTGCTTCTCTCTCTCCCACTCCCCCTGCTTGTGTTCCCTCTCTCACTCTCTCTGGCAAATAAATAAATAAAATCTTTAAAAAAAAGGAATATGACTCCAACTATACATAGTATAGTGTGTGTATATACACACACACAGATGTATAGATGTCTATATATAAAATATCTATATAGATACATAAATATATACACATGAAAAAAAGATTGGAAGGAAATATACTAATACGTTAGGAATTCACTACCTCCAAATTATGGACCTATGTGTGACTGTTAATTTCTTTTTTTATTTGTCAACATTTTCCAAATATTCTATACTGAGCATACATTACTCTTATTTTACAAACTAATATACAAAGACATGCTTACTGCATAAAATTCCAACAGTACCAGGGTATAGAGCAGCACTGGGAAACAAACTTCTGTGATTGGAACATTCTACATCTGCACTATCCAATACAGAAACCACCAGCCACATGTGGCTATTGAAGTCCTTAAAATGTGCCTAGGGTAACTGAGGAACTGAATTTTTCATTTTATTTAATTGGTTTCAGTAATAATACTTAAATTATAATTTAAAGTAAATTTTATCTTCTCCCAAACTTCTAAGTCTGAAACAAATTCTTTCAAAAGTCCTACTAATTTAGCTTTAGTTTCTTTACCTAAATAGGAACACATCATATGCACTGACTGGCTACTTGCTTTGCTCATTCAGTAAAATGCCTTGCCAATCTTGCAATTCAGCACATACAGAGCTATGTTTTTCTCTTGGCACACTGTAATATGGATGTATCACAACTTATTTAATTATTCCTTCATAATGAAAATTTAGACTATTTCCCTTTTATGTATAAAACAATGCTATAAATATAATTGTGCTTCCCTTTGATAATCATCTGATTTTTAATTTTTAGCCTAGGTTATAGAGAAAATTAAAAAAAATGTTAAAAGTATTTGTCTGAACTACTTAGAAAAATTAATACAGTCATATTTGATATATTCCTGAAAGATTTTATGTGAACTATATCTATTTTAGGGGCACCGGGGTGGCTCTGACAGTTAAGCAGCCGGCTCTTGATTTCAGCTCAGGTCATGATCTCAGGATCCTGGGATCAAGCCCCGTGGTGGGCTCTGCACTCAGCAGGGAGTCTGCCTGAGGATTCTCTCTCCCCTGTCCCTCTGCCCCTCCTCATGCTTGTGCACTCTCTCTCTAAAGTGCCTGGGTGGCTCAATTGGTAAAGCATCTGCCTTTGGCTCAGGTCATGATCCTGGGGTGCTGGGACTGAACCCCGTGTCAGGCTCCTTGCTCAGCAGGACATCTGTTTCCCCCCTCTGCCTCTGCTGCTCCCCACCCTTCACTCATGCTCTCTCTCACTCACACTCTCTCTAGTAAATAAATAAAATCATTTAAAAAATAAAAATTAAATAAATAAATAAAATAAATCATATTTCATACATATTAGGTGAGGCAGACAAACTTACGCAAAGATGACACAGGAAAAACATGCACATGCATGCACTGTTAAGAAAAAACACTGCAATAACCTTTCTGTAAGCGGTTTGGTCCTTCACAAAATGTGAATACTTTGGACTCAGTCAGCAATCCCACTTCACTGGTTTACCCAAAAGGATGACCTAAAATGAAGTCCATAAGGAATATTTCTCACAAGCATTACTTACAATGGTGCAAAGACGAGAAACCACCAAAGAGCTGGGCAACTGAAATACCTACAGGCATGTGTAAGTATATACTGGCAGTTTAAGAATATATGAACATATTCAATGGAATTCTAGACTGCATGAAAAGCAGCAGCAGAGCTCAGTAGCCATCGCCATGTTAAGAAGCTATAACATCCTAAGGTGAGGCAGGCACTGCCAGGAGCAGGAGAATACCCACACATCACACAAACAAGGGTGACACAAAGGAGCTGTGTATGGCTGCTGAATGGCTGGACAACATTTACCACATTGTCATCAACAGTGGCATTTTTACATTGTGGAATTCCAATTTTTTAACTTTACTCTTTGAAGTCTTCTATACAGTTTAAATTCTTTTACTAAAGTATCATGTATTCCCCAAAACAATAAAGCTCCATTACAAAATAAATCTGAGGAAATGACAGAAGATGGCAGAGTTCAGGAGGTTCCTGAGCTCACCCCCTCCCGCAGATACACTGAGGCAACAAGTGTATCTACTGCAATTAACTCTGAATGATCTGAGGACCGGCAGAAGAGATCTTCCACAGCTAATCCTGAGAGAAGGCCACGTTGAAAGGGTAGGAGGGGTGGAGACAGGGCCAGGAACCAAACCCCTGGTGCATATGACCACAAACAGGAGAGCCATCACAAGCATGGAGGAGTGAGGGGAACAGATCCCACACAGGGCAATCCTGGCCGTAAGGACCTACGCTGGGAAGACAAGTGCCCATAATGTCTGGCTTTGAAAATCAGCAGGGCTTAACTCCAGTTGAACTGGAGGGCAAAAGAGCCAGCACACTACTAAGTTTCTCAGGTGGAGACAGCACTGAAGCAGCAGCTTAAAAAGCACCTAGGGTACACATGAAGGAGATTTACTAATTTTAGGTGTGTACAGGAAGGGCAAATGTCTGCAGATTTCTCCAGGAATAAAAAAGTGCTGGCAGGTGCCATTTTTCTTGTCGTCCGTGAGCCTAGATAGCTAGATGCTTGCAGAAGCCAATTCTAACACCTCCATCTACCTTGTTAACAACATACGCCCTGCCCCAGCATTACCCTACCACCCACCCTACCCAACCCGCTGGCCTTCACAGGCACCCCTCCAAAGCAGCTCCTCCCCTGCCATATCCAGCAGGCAGCCCCACATGGGACCAGCACCCCTCCAAAGTGATTCCTGCCCTGGGGGACAGGGAGATAACCCTACACACCAGCTTGCCCACAGTTCCTACAGCTGGGCCTCTTAGCTGGCTGCACAAAGAACAAGCCCTGCCCTTCTGTGTACCTGCAGCTGTCACACAGGCCAATTACACACAGCTAGACTGAGTGCCAGCCCCACCCACCATTGAGTCCATGGCAGCTGCAGCCAGGCCTCTCAACAGCACGGGAAACAAACCCTGCCCAGTGCGTCTGCAGCAGGCAAAGCGGGTCACTGCAGCCAGCTGGGCTGAGAGCCAGCCCCACCCATCAGCATGCCCACAGTAATCACAGCTCAACCACAGCAGGAGGGTACACACAGCCCACAAAGGGGACAGCCCTAGTATGCCTGGTTCCAGTGACCAGGGCAGATAGCATACAGGGCACCACTTCTACATAAAAGTCACTACTTTCAAGGCCAGGAGATGTAGCTGACCTACCTAACACATAGAAACAAACACGGACAGTTAGCCAAAATGAGGAGACTAAGG